ACACTGGTAAAGTTTTTGTTGTGTACTTAGTATTCGTTTGTCCTTTATTCTTTTTTTTTTATGTTTTGTTTTTTGTTTTCCTCGGATAGGAGGACTGTGTGTGTGTGTATTTTTCACCTTTTCTTTCCTTCTCTTTGGGAAGGTTTGCATCGTTTCTTCGATTAGCAGCATCATTTTTTTTATTTGTGTTTTTGTTTCCGAGCGTTACATGGAGGACCGGGCCTCACAGTCCCAGCGGCAGGCATGTGGCTTTTCCTATACGTCTGCACATGACCTCTGGCCGCCTCTCTGCGTTTCACACCGTGGCGGTGTGGTGGCGGTAGTTTTGCCTTTCTTTCCTCCGCCCGAAAATTACCCCCTTCCTCTTTTTTTTTCTTTTCTTTTTTTTACTATCTGTTGTCTGTACATCTCTCCTCCTATCCACGTAACTCTCTCACCCCTTTTCTTCGCTCCCGCTCCCGCGTCGGAGGGGGCTTATGCATGTGCGCCGTGCGTCTTCTGGGTTGTCTGCCAGCTCTCACTACTCCCCTCACGCTGGTGGTATTTTTATTTTCCTTTTTCTCCCTCTCCCCTCTTTTCTTGCCTGGGCGCCATGCGGGCTTGAAGCGAAGTCAGTGGACCAAACTCCCCCCTCCCTGCGGTCACGGTGTGGCTGTGGATTCTCGTGCAGCTTGCCCACGGCCACGGAAGGAGGCGCGGCGTGCGGAGCGGGAGCTGAGGGAGCTGCAGCAGCAGCGAGGGGAAGGGCGCGAAGCGGAATGCGTGGGATGGGCATCGCTCTGCTGTCTGCGGAGGTGGGCGAAGACGAGTGGTCGCTTTTACTCGCAGCCTTCCTTGGCTGCTTCGTTGCCGACGCCGAGCGGGGGGTGGGGGCGGGGGCGGGGGCGGAGGGTTCATTACACACACGCGCGGCGGCGGGAGCTGCCGGAAAATGTGCGCTTTCCGGGGTGCGGCGGGCGTTGCGGTATTTGGCGCACGACGGCGACGCCTTGCGGGCCAGGCGCGCCTTGGAGCGCGTTGTGGAGGCGCTCGCTGAGGAGTTTTGGCGGCCGTCGCCATCGCCGCCGCAGCCGCCCCAGAGGGAGGCGGGTGTGTTTCCTCACAGCACCGCGGCGGCGGTGGACGCCACCCTCCCGGCGGAGTTGCTGTACATGGTGTACTACTTGGCCTACACGCAGTGTGCCCCGCAGGCGTGGCAGGCGGCGAAGGCGCACGGTCGATGGGCTCAACTCTTTTTTGAGCCGTTGCTCTCTGCCTCTGCGACGACGGCGACGACAAGCACCACGAAGACTGAAGCCACGGCATCGACGAAATTATTTTCTTCACAGGCGCATGGAATTGAAGGAGGGGGGCGAGCAGCCGAAGACGCGGATGTGCGCGCCGGAGTTACACGACTTTTTTCGCAATGCATGCCTAACAGCGAGGTTGCCAATCTGCTTCTGTTTATTGATGCATACCATGCCTGGCTTATGCGCGATTACCGCGGCGTCTTGGACCACACGGAGCAACTCTTTCAACGTCTGCCAATTGGGGGAGGGACACGGCCGTGGCTGTTGTGGCTTATGCTTCATTCGTCGCGCTTCATACATGCCTGTGCGGCTATTGCGGTGACGAACGTCTCGCACCCTGCGGCAAGAGACGTGGTGAGCGAACGGGTTCGGCGCATGCGCGACGAAGACACCGGGGGGGATGCTCGATTGCGCTATCGGAGTCCTGTGTGGGGGGTGGGCGCGTCGCTGCATGCACGGCCGCCTTTGATGCGCGCCGTGTACGATCTGCTGCACAGTGAGCTTTCGCGAGGCGACGACACGGGCCTCCACGAGAAGGGAGCTGACAGTTGCCTCCACGACGAGGAGCATTCACGCCCACCGACGTCAGCCGAGGTCTGGCAGGACACATTTTTGCTGACGTTGCGGGCGTGGTTGCGGGCGAAGCGGCTGACTGAGGCGGGACACATGACCGACTCAAGAGACCTCCTCCTCCGCGTCCTGGAGCGACTCTACGGTCACCGCCGCACGAGCAGTGAGGAGGGCCACAGCTTCCTCACAGTCTCCGCGCCCGCACCCGCCGCGGCATCGGCTGTCACAAACTCTGCTTGTCTTGCTGCTACTGCGAGTGGCGCCGCGAGAGAAGAGGCCTCCAGCTCTGTAGATGAGGACAACGGATGCGTAGGGCTGCGCCTCATGCCTTCCCTGTGGCTTCGACAGTTGCTGCTGGTAAATTGCGCGGCGCTTGCCGACACGCGAACCCTGCTTTACTTTCTGCACCATCTAAGGCAGCCGCTGGCGCTTGCCGAGTTGTTGTACCTTGCGGCCTGCCCGACAATCGCTTCAGGCGGAGTGCATTCTCCCATCCTCGCCTCCTTTTCAATGGATGAGACGAGTGAAGTGCAGTCGGTGCCTCATGTGAAAGAGCCACTGCAGGAAATGCCGCTCCCTGTACGAGTACCACTCTTATCCCATCGTCTCTGGAGGCTGCGGCGGCAACTTCTTCAGAAATCGCCGCAATCGACTGGTGAATGCGCCGAGGACGACGATCACCGCGTTTCTCTCCAGCGGGAGATGATGCATCTCTGCGCAGCCCTTGTGAGGAACGTGCGAGGCCTGTTTGGTTCATTGGAGCTGAGTTTCACCGACTGTGTCCCGCATCGCATCGTGTTTGATGCCATCACGGTGGCCTGTGACGTGCAGGAGAATATTCTGCGCAACGCCGCCTTCTCCTTGGCGACTGCTCCTTTAGTGTCACCCCCAGCCTCACCGCGCAGCAGCGGCAGCAGCATTGAAGAGGACACCCACGCCACAGCGACTGAGCTGCCCAACACAAGCGCTACTGCGACCAATACACCTGCCAGTTTGCCGCCGGTCTTTATCACCGCATCAGAAGGCGGCTCGCCCTCACACGTCGCTCCTGTGACGCATGCCTGCCATTATGGCAGGAGCAGCAGGAACGACAACAACCCTTGCCACACTGATGACGGGAATAGCGACGATGACGGCGATAGCTGGTTACAGGTGCCCTGCCTACCGTTCGTGGTGTCGCCGTCGGAAGTTAGTCACGCAACATCTTTTGGCGCATCTGTTGCGGTGACGGCGCAAGAACTGTACTGGTTTGCCTACAGAAAGGCACACGAGTGGATACAAATTATTCAGTGTTCTTTTCCGCAACTACCGCTCATGGTGCAGCTGTGCCAGCTGCGTGTGGCCGCCGCTGCCTTCGACAAGGGGACTGCACATCTTGCTCGACATCTGCTTGCAACGTACAGGGGAAACGCTTTGGTCGCTTCACACGTTGCGTTAGCACTCTTTGCAAGCCTTCATGTGGTGTCAGCAGAGCGGTGCATTCAGGAGGCTCTTCAGCAGCACCCTCACTCAGCCGAAATACGACGCATTTACTGTGCAATATGCGGGCAAAACATCATTGCGAGAGAAGCCATGCAGGGACAGGGAGGGGAATGGGATACTCCAGGGCGGGCTAAAAAACGGTTCGTACGGCCTATTTTTACGCATCGTTACCGCGGTGTACTTACGGTGAAGTATGTTACCTCGGACCACCATGGCCACGCGGCTGTGTATGTGCCACTCGCCATGTGCCTTCTTTGCATCGGTGCTCTTGTGGCCGGCTTTGTGCTACACCTGAGGGACGTCGCACCCACCGCCACAACCACAATTCCCACCGATGACGCGGGTTTTCGCTGGTCTTTCGCACTGCCTTCGACTCTGTCAACGTACTTGGGGTTCGTAATTGTGGTATACGCGCTCACCGCTGCGGCAGTGAACCCACTTCTTGCATCGCGTTGTGCGGATGCAGGCGATCAAATCCACCACATCTCAGGTTTCCTCTGCGCGCTTATGGAGTGGAACTGTTTAGAAGACGATGCTCCAAATCAGCTTGTCTTTTGCTTGCGTGGCCTGCCATTGGTCAACCTGTTCACGGGCGTGCAACTCGCCGTGAGCAATGCACTTCGGCTCACACTTCATACAGGGAAACACTGCGCTTCGAACAATGCCGTAATTTTTCCCGATATCTGCAATCGCATCTTCACAGGATGGGGCACGGTGCAAATACTTCTTGCCGTCTTTCTCCTTGCGATAGCCGTACTATTTCATGGACGTGCATGGCGAGTGATACGCCGCCGTGATGTGCTAGTGGGATCCTTTGCAACATTCATCACAATTTTTCTCATAGACGTTGCTCTGTTTTTATTTTATTTTCCACTCCACTTCCTTTCTTGCGTGATGTTGGAGCCAATACTCTTTTTCATCAATCTCGTCCTCACCGTCGCCTTCGCCTCGCCGCTGATCACGGAGCACTTTCCTAGCGCTCCAAGTGACAGGTTTCTGGCCACAGCCACTTTTCCCCGCCCAACCCCAACTGTTGCGGGGCGCTGGGGCTCGATGGCGTTGTCAGCAGAGCAGGTGGCCTCGCAGGTGCGTGGGCGGTTGCGTGCAGGCCTGCCGCCGCTTCACTGGTCGCCTTCTCGACGCCACGATTGTTCGATGCTTTGCTTTCACGAGGTGTTGCAGCCGCTGGGCAAAGGTGGTGGCGACGCCTCCCACTCGCCCAGCGGGTTGCTTTTGCAGGTCTTGAGAGGGCTTGCTTCCCGCGGTGTCGCAGGGTGCGCCTCCCTGCAGTCCGTCGTGAATTGGCGCGCCCATCGCGCCCCTCAGCTGAGCGAGGCGGCGGTGCAGTTGGCGCTTTTACGCGAGAGTTTCACTGCAGCGGTTGCCCCAGCACCGGCGAGCGCAAGCTTCATGTTGAATGGCGTGTTGGGCGCCACTGCAGCCGTTGAGGCCGATAAACAGGTGAGCCGCTTCGCGCC